GGCAAGTGGGATTTAACCGTCACTTTTTAAACGCTTCCATAGCTCCAAAGTGCAAAGCTCGTTTTTTTTTTTTTGGCAGTAACGAGGCACCAACCATGAAACTTCGTATTCACAGTCCGGCACGCTAATAATTGGCCTGCAATCGGCACTGCTTTAACAATGGTTTGTCAGAAAAAACTATTACAGAGTTAATCTGAATTCTGGCTTAACTGAACGAAGTAAGGCGACTAGACAACAAGAAAAACACTGTAGTTTTGAAACAGATAAAATATGGCACCATGGGCATCTTAATGGAATGAAAGACAGTCACTACTCTGGCATGGATCAATCTTGTTTAGTTCCCTTTTTTTCACAGGACTAATTCTCCCAGAGTACATTTGTCACCCATTGGTCACCCACTCTTTACACGACTGATAAGACTAGAAAAATCCGTTAGTACAATTCCAACAGAATTCTCCAGTAACACCCTCCATGGGAACATCCAGAAATACTATAGAAAAATTATCCTTGACATATGTGACACAAAAAATAAAGTTAACACAGTTCAAAGCTGGTTAAATGAATGTTATATGTTTACATGTGCATCAATGTGTATAAATATTAAAATAAAACTTTAAAATTTTGCTGGACGTTTTATATTTCCTTTTCTAAACAAAAACAGGAAAAAAAATTGTATGTTTCACGTCCCACATTTCTCCTCCCATTTACTCTGAGGCTGTCTCGGCTATTTATAAAATTAAATCAAACTAAACACAAAAAACATTAACTAGCGGTGTATTCATGATATCCAGACAGGAAAGACAAGTAAAATTTATACAAAGAAAACACAGTTGAAATAATACCTTAGAAGGATAAAGCAAGTATATGTAAATAAATCCTTTTAACACAGATCAATTCAAGTACATGAAAATTAGCCCTTAAGATTGACTTGTGTAAGTGTGAAAAAACAGACTCCTCTTACAGTGAATATTTAATACATTGAACAACACAGAGAAAAAAATCCTTCCTTGACTTATAAACAAGGATCACTCACAAAATATCTTCATAGTTATTCAAAGCACAATTTAAATGTAGCATTTTCAGTGTTGTGTTCAACAGTTAGCTTTAATTTATTTAAATTTATACATTGTTGCATAAGACACTTTGCATGGAATCAAGAGCGGCGGTAAGGAGCTTGGTAGTGCTGAATCTACTCCATAATGCGCCTTAGCCTCCCCTGTACTCCCCACACCGAACGAACAATGCTTACTTAAAAGTTGTTTTACTTCCTAAATACTACAGTGTATGTACCTACAAAATGTTGAGTGTATCCTCCTCAATCTTTTAACTTGTCCATTTCGGCCTTTTCACCAGAAAGAGGCTGGCGCTGTCACTGCATGGAATATTTTAGATTTTTACAAAACGCTTTTAAGAATACTTTAAATCTTAGTATGTAACTCAAAGCAAAGTGCTTTGCAAATATTCGAAGATAAATTCCCTCCGATGCTGAGATGGCATATAAAATATGTTGGTGAACTCCGGCTTAGTTGGCACAAGTGTTTGAAAATGGTGACACATTTCCCCTGGACGGAATATCAGTCCATCCCAGTTAACAGCTGGTACCCACCATATAGCTAGGAACAAGTCTGGTAAAATATCTTGTTTAAGAACACAAGAGCATGACACGGGTCAGACTCGAACTCGAAACCATACGACTTTGAGCCCAAAGCGTGAAGCCACTGAGTTATTCTATCCCCCACGAGAAGATTTTAGCTTTGATAAAAATCACTTACTTTAATTTACAAGAATAACCTTTTGAGTATAATAATACCTTCAAACTTCATAGTACTTACCTATAGCGGCGTGTTTTTTTTGTGTTATTTTTTCATCTTCAACAACAGACTCTCCAAGCTCCAGACGGTCTTGGCAAGTTCTTTGTGGAACCAGTAAAGCTCTTGGGCCATCTTGGCCTCAGCCCCTTCTCATATATAGTGTGCTGAGACTGAAGTCGAGGTCACTATTAAGAGTTCTAGGCGTGATTGTTGTTTGGAATGTGTAAGTGCCATAGCTGTAGTGAAGGTTCTAGTATCTGCCTCTTTGGTGGTAGCCCATCATTGAGTTGTTCCATTGACTTCTTGACATGTTTGCTTGAACTATATTTTTTATGTTCCACAACAGGTGAGCTCCAATGTCCTGGTCTCTGAGTATCTAAGTTTGCATCACTCGTCCACCCTCTAGGTGAAAAGCAGCGGCAACTGATGGAGTAGGTGGCACGGGTTAGACTGCTAGCAGACTTGGTTCAGAAGTGCTTACAGGTACTATCTCGGCAGTTGAGGTGACATCAGTAAAAGTCAGATTAGCAAATGTTTCTGCTAAGAGTAAATCCTCCTCCATTGGATCCTTGGCAGTTGCCATCAGATCTAAAGTAGCTCTTAGGGCCTGGACGCCTCTAGAAAATTTTAAAAGTCACCTCTAAATATAAGATGATCTTCCATTAAGTGGTCTTGCAAAATTTAAACTTCTGATCGAATATAATGAAAAAATCAAGATAATCAAACGTTGCCAAGAATTTGGTCTCATATAGCTGAGGTCGGGATTGAAAATGCTTAATCATCTCAATTACTGTTATTCAGAAGTTGAGCTAATAGAACAGGTTGAAAATTGTGACTGTACAATCTATTGCGTGTTAAAACAATATTCTTGTTTACGTGTTATTTCTACATACATATATAAATAAATATATTATTGCCCAAGAAAATTTCTCCTAAGCGCTTGTGAATGTCTTGGTCCAACATATTTCGTTAAAAGAGCTTATATTTTACCAATATACTGTCATACTCCATGCTGCTAGCATGGTCTGATTCTTAAAATGAATGAACATGAAAACTGCCAGTTTGGTGTCTATATACAAGTAACTAAAGTCAGCCTGGAACTTTTATAAGTGCCAACCACAATGTTCTGATCATGATAATCAGAAACATTGTATTTCCTTTGACTTAGCTTCCGATACATGATCAATACTTGAAGGAACTACAACACACGTTTTTCCGCTTGCCTCAAGTTATACAATCACAACTCACAATAAAGTGTGCTCAAACTGCAACTTGTATAGAAAATAAATATTTAGAAAGTATTTAGTAAAATATATTTCAGCCACCCTCCCCCGCTGGATGCATTCGGTTCTGTTAGGCAGTATTAAATTAATTGATTCGAAATCAGGTTGATATAAACCGAGTACTTAATAATCAGTATATATTGCTATTCTAAAGTGATTTTACTAAAAAATAAAGTTCCATGAACCGTCTTATTTGGTTTTGAAAAGCAACAGATACATTTTAAGTATTTTCACTCAAAGACATCATCTTCATTTTAACATTGCAATATTGTATTGTGGTGATAAAACTGACATATATAATCACATTCCAGTAGTAGAAGAGTTTCCCCATGTCGAAGACCTTTGATTATTTGATTTAAAGTCAAGTCGAGCTACCAGGGACTAAAGTGGTACAGGGCGAAAGAAACACACGT